AGGCTTTGGTACTTGAGTAATGATCTTACTGTGTTGGTTATTTGGTGAGCATGGGGGTTGTCCATGCCACATTGGTATAAGTTATGTTTATTTCAGACTTGAGCTGTAACATTGTATCAGGATATTGTCTGGTCTACATGTTGTAGTTCCATTACTTGATACTTATTTATGCTATGAGGTTATTCAGTGTAGTTATTTATTGCAATTTACATACAAGCGATATTTTGAAAAAGAATAAGTAAATCCACTTGGTTAATATATGATGAGTTTCATAATTGGAAAAATTTAGCTTCCGCATTTATTGTGCTACGCTATTACCATTTATATGTTTAATACACCGGGTGCACACCGGGTGTTACACCTCTCCTCTGCTATTCTCTATTGGGTAAGGGATCTATTTTCACATATTTTTGTATGTGCATGAGAAGGACAAGAAGGGTTTGAGTTCGATGATATAACTTTTTATTAACTCAATTGGAATATGTGTTTGATACTTTGATTAGTTTGTGAATATTGACTTGTGGATGTAATTGGTTGAATTATGTTAAGTATATTTTGAATCTTTAATGATTGGTGGTTTGATTTTTTTGAATTTTTCATATAGAATATATATTTATATTTTTTTAATATATAAAATTGGGTCAGCGAAGTGATCCCCTGACCCCACGATTAAACCCGTGACCCCTGACCCCTTACCTCGATTGAGTCAATGTCCGGGCTGGATTTTTAAACACTGATAAATACTACTGATCTGCTTAGAATGAGTTTGATTAATAAAAAATTATCCAAAGAACTATTTATGGCGGATCAAGAATATTGAATAAGAAGCGGTTAGCAATTACAAATTATGTATAAATTAATCTAATTTTAGTATAAAAGATTTTAACACTACCGTTAAAAATTTAAAATAAATAAAACAACTTAATTCTTCTTCTTCTTTTTTTGAAATTAAAAAAGTTTTGAAAAAGAGAATTTACCACATTTCCATTTAATGCATGTCAATAGTAAGGTATGAGATATATATGATGACATTATAATGTACTCCAGTGACTTGCAAATAGTAGATGAAATTTAGAGTTTATAATATTACAACAAAAACTCTTTTATATTGGCATGAATAGCTAGCTACTATCTCTAGCTGTTTACTTTAACTTAATTTAAGGCTAATTTAGAGAGTATTTCTCATAAAAAAAGTGTTTTGATCATGTATATGTTTCTTAAAAGGGGTTTGTTTTTCTCATGTTGTATGAGAAAACAAATCCTTTCTACTCGCATCATAAAAACATGTCACTCTTAAAAATTTATTTGTGATACTTTGAAATGTGATACTTAAAAATCCTTTCTACTCGCAACATAAAATTTATTTTTCCCTTCTTAAAAATGTGATACTTTGATTTCTTTGTATGATCACAGAACCCAATAGGAGAGAAAAAAACAAGGGTCAATACATTGAAGGTTTCTATGTCACACCAAAACATCCATCATCTCATGTTTCCAGCCAAAATTATTATCAAAGTAATGACCCTTAATGTACTCAAGGAGATAAGAAGGACAAAAGCAACAATCATAATATTATTATTAAAATCACATAATATTTTAATATCAAAACGAGAGACTTTGCACAAGGCACTTACAGCCAAGGGCTTATCTCTCTGTCTATGTCTTTGGAACAACCAATGTTTTCAATTAATGTATTAATAGGCTTCTCGGACAAAGAGTCACTTTTTTTTTTATTCATCAATCTCATTGCATATATATCCAAATGGGTGCCGGGTGGTTAAGATTAACTGTTTGAATTGTAAGATCGAAAGTTCAACCATTAGGAAGATATTTGATATTCATCACACCCAAATCGAACTTGCCATAACAATGTATATATTTAAAAAAAAAAAAAAAATCTTATTGCACATATAAGGCTATATATAAGCATGGACATCAAATCCTCTATTCTGCCCAAATGTACTTTACAAGTATCTTGGGGGGACTGAATATTGTTGAGTCCTTTATCCTTAACACGTGGGTGGGATGACAAAAGTGTCTGCAATTTGTTCAAATCGATGTACAATGAAGAGAGCCATACTTCAAACATTAGCAGCTTCGACTAGAACAAACTGGAAAGTATGTTAGATGCCCCGGCAGAGTTTGCAACACTTTAATTTGTGCAATACTGAGGTGCACATGCGACAAAGCGAATGTTTTAGAATTCCTAAAAAGGAAAAGAAAAAAAAATTAATCTAAACTCTTTTTTTCTCTTCATTAATAAAAAGATATATTCTTGTATGCATACAAACTTAAGATACGTGCACATAATTTATAATATTAATAATATAAGACTCTTTAATCAAATTCGAACTCTAACCACTTTCTTAAGATCGTTGAACGTGTCTTTCTTAAGTTTATGTATATTGAGGCGTTGGTTAGAGAAGAAATTTTTTTTATCAGTGAATTATAATTATTAGAAATATAGTGAGAAAGTAAAATTTCTGATAAAGTTAAAAAAAAATTATTTGATAGGCCGAAATATTATTAAAAAAATTAGCTTAAATTTTCTGAGTCTATGTTTGGTTGAAACTAAAATATTGCTGAGAGTTCACCAAAAAAAAATTATTGTGAAAAAATGGGTTGAAATTATCAAAGTAACCCTTGCCTATCAAATTTTGGCATTTATTTCAGTAATATTTGTGTCCAAATTTTCGCTCCCCAATTTTTTGTTTCCCAGCTAAATCAAAATACCACCCTTTGGGTGGTATTCTCAAGTGATAATCTGGATAAAATTTTACACATAATATCAAATTTCCATGCAAATTAGAACTCTAGGCAAATTTTTTGAAAACTCCTACCTAACATGGTCTTCTTTGAATCCCATGTAAACTTTTCCGAGCAACAAAATAAAATTCCCTTACCAAACACAGAAAAAATTCTTTTCACTGAACTCCTTTTTCATAGTTATATATCTATATACGCTACATGACGTTTGCGTTCTTCAGAAATATTATAAAAATTTAGTTGAGCTTGTTATTAATCACTCCTATTTCGCATTTAGATAAAAATTTTAATTGGTGGGACGTGGAAAAAACAACGGAGGTAAGGAGAACCAGGATGAATCTGTGTCTTTGTTCTTCCTTCTCTTCTCTTTTTCTGTTCTAGAATTCTGTATGTAATTTCTCAATGTCAACAAAATTTAGGAGAACCAATTAAGTTACAATCATTTCATGGTTTAGGGATGATACTAAACCTTAATAAAAGCTTACACAAATAGGATACCAAAAAAAAAAAACAAAACAAAACTTACACTAATATAATGTCATCTATTAAGAAGGACTACTGGCTCACGGAACCGAGAAAGTGGAACCAAATTAATGTTGGGTCGAAAGCTCTATAATTAATTATACTCAAAGGTGGTGAAAACTTAATATCAATTAAAAAAAAAAAAATAGGCCATAAGGAATTATCCTGTTCTAAAATCAAGGCACTTTAAGTCTCAATGAAAATTTATGACAGTATTTATAAATGACATAAGAGCCGTCAGAATATTAAAAAAAGAAGTCTATTGGCACTAATAATCATAGCAGTTTAACTAACTCTTCGTGTGCCTGATATCAATATTTAATTCCTTCTTATAAACGGTCTATATAATTTATATTAGGACTGGTCTGAAAGATGCTTAATTTCTGCTTCTAGTTGGAAATCATTTACATAATTTAAAAGATGATAATGTATGTCATCTTAATAAAGAGGCATGATTCATGACCTTGATTTTTTTAATAAAGAAGCATGATTCATAACTTTGACCCAATATTTAAGAAGACGGCAATATACACAAATACAAAAATGCACAGACAAGACACAGAGGGAGACAGCCGTCGGTGAGAAGGGAAGAAGAGAGAGAAAGAAAGACATTTTGAAAATAAACCATATTTGCTTTCAGTTCTGGATGAGCAAATACACAAGCAAAGTGCATATGCAAAGTTCAATTCACAAACCCTAAGAATCAATTTGGTACACTTTAAAAAATGTGGTGAAAATTTTTATAAATAAGTTTTGCGTGAAAATTTGCATAAGAACTCATTCATGAACTTTTATGCCATTTTTAATAGTGTAACAAACTAGCCCTAACATTCTTTTCAAAAGAAAAATGCTTAAGATATGAAAGGGTATTGGGTTCGATTCCAGAAAATAATAGGAAAACTTAAATCGGTAATCAGATTAATTGGTCCGCTACCACTTCGGACACCAGTTAATATCTGTTTAAAAAAAAAAAACTTAAGAGTGAAAGAAAAAGCTGATGTTTAAGAACTAGAAAATCCAATATATATATATATATAGTGCGTTGAGGTGTAAGCATGAAAAACCAGAATTTTCATCCCAAATGAGTTGGTCCTCTTCACGCTCTCACAACTTCGTCATATCTTGCAAGTCTAATCAATGATCCCATCTTGTACTTAATAGCCATGAAGTGCATCAATAAAATAATAATAATGAATAAAATACTGAAACCAAATAAAATGCAATCAACAAAATTATAAAGGAGAAAAACACCATACGATGAAGAATTAGTAACTGTTAAATTATTGAAGAAAACCCATCTTCATCAGCATCTTCTTCTTCTTTATTCCAAACACAGAAGCAAATCAAAAGTGAAAGACACAAGAGAGAGTTCATAACTCATATACATAGATATACTTTGACATAAAATAATAAACATGCTTCCTATACTATATTCCCATCATCATCACAGAGTTCTTCACAACTATTTCATCAGTACTCTAAACACTTCCCAATTCTTTTTTTTAACCCCAATTCCTACTTTTCAAACTAAAAAAACCATTCCCCCTTAAATCCCAACTAGTAAAGGTGGGGTGAGAATAATTTTTGTACGCAGTCTTAACCTTACATATTTGCAAAGAGACTGTTTCTGAATCCGAACCCGTGACCTAAAAAGACAACATGAAATTAATTTCCATTAGATCACAAGATCTACATATCTATATTAATTCAATTCAATAAGGTGGCCGTCCATGACCCCAAGCAAAAGCTTCATGCCCTCCATTGGGAAGAAGATTTGGTGGAAGATTATACAAAGGCAAAGATGATGGATCTTGAAGAGTAGCTTGCAATTGACCACCACTACTTCCAATTCCCGGTGGCGGAGAACCTCCCAAAGCTCCACCACCTTGCACGGCACTGCTACCACCACCACCACCACCCTCATCATCATCCTCAAGGGGCAATCTTTCATAAGTAGCATTAGCAAAAGTTGCAGCAATAACCATAACAGGTCCTGCAGCAACTAAAGACCCAACAACACTTCCTCCAACAACTTGACCCTGTCCTCCAGCAAGGTACACTGTGAGACCTGTGGCACCAGGAGGGGCAGGTCCTGGTAAGAATGCCCCAGTTAAGGACAAAATCTCAAACCTTCCATGAAGTGCAACAACAGCACCAGGTGCTGCAGGTTGTCTAAGAGTAACGTTTGCAACAGAGCCACTTCCACTGAGAACACAAACACCACGTTGACGCCTCCTTGCAAACTGAGCAACACTTTCAGCTACATCAGCACCACCAGCTACCTCCATAACATGGCTTCTAAGAGAGTTTGGACTATCCCTTGTTACAAAGATTGGTGGTTTTGGCTTGTTTTTGGAACCTGGGGGTCTCCCTCTTGGTCTTCTGTTTCCAACTTCAACTGCACCTTCTTTTGGTTCATCACAGTTGTCTCTGTCTTCATCATCTTCGTCTCTATTGTTGTTGTTGTTGTTGCTTTCGTTGATTGAAAGCTCTGTGTGGCTTCTTTTGTTCAAAGAAGGTGAATTGGTTGCAGGGTCTACCCCTGCTAACCCCACCTGACCCGTCCACCATGGATTAGCCAGAGTTGCTGAAGATTGAGTTTTTCTTTCTTTCTTTTTCAAGAGAAGAAGAAGAAGAAGATGAAGATGATTAACCACAAAGAGCAATTTAGAGAGATTTAAGGTCTCAATTTGCTTTTGTCTTCTTTGATTTTAAGGGACAAGAAAGTCAAACCTTAACACAGCTCATAATATAAGAAACAAAAATATGACCTAACATAAGAACACACAGATGCTCTTTCACTCTCTTACACAGATAGAGAGATAGAGAGAGAGAGAGAGAGAGAGAGAGAGAGAGAGAGAGAAGGGAAAGGAAAGAGAGGTGCTTAGAAGTTAGAGGTGAGGAATTAGATTCAATGACTCAGAGGAATAATCAAGTAAAAGAAATGAAAGAGAGATTAATTAAAAGAGTTGGTTTCATCATCACAAGATGCAAAAGGGATGGTTGTAGATGGATCAGACGATTAGGAAGTGCTCTCTTACTCTCTTTTCTTTTCTTATTTGAAGAGGTGATCTCAGTGGACAAAACATGGATCAGATGCAAAACCTTTCACAGAATCAAGCATATAAGATAAATATGAGAGATCAAAGAAAAAGAGAGAGAGAGTTAACAAAATCAAAGCACAGCACATAAGTAATAATTATAGGGTATAGAAAAATAGAAGTAGTAAATAACAACACAAACAAAACTGTTTGAACAGAACTGCGGAGAAATTTTTTGGACTGAGCTAAGTTTTGATTTGGGGAGCTATAATATATTTTTTTTCCCTTTTTTTTTTAACTCTTTAAGTATTTATTTCTTTTCTTTTCTTTTCTTTCTTTCTTTATTGTTGATGGTATTATAATCGCAACAAGCTCTGCTTTTTGAGGGTCTCGGAAATTAGGGTTTTGTGGGGTCGCGTGCAAGTGGCCAGGTAGGAGCACGTCATTTTCTCGGGCCCCGATATATATATTATATATTCATATCAGCGCTCCATTTGGGGAGAAATTCTTATGTAATGAACCTCTTCATATAAGGAATCAAACCAACACAATTAATATATATGTTCGAGTCTTGTCATATGGCCGTTCGCCAAGTTCATTTTTGTTTAGTACCTGGACCACATGACTTATTTGTTCAAGTATTCTTTCATATATTTCTCATGCACACATAACTTTTTATATATTAGGGGTCACACAACATCATATTTAAAAGGGCCCATAGGGCTAGAAATATAATGGCATAATACTTTGTGAACCTGGAGGGAATCTTCAACATCCTATATAAAGGGATATTCGCTTCTTAATTCTGCCATCTTCTCTATTTGTTACTATTACTCTTACTCTATTGAAATCTTTCCTCAATTCATAACCGTATTACGCCTACCCCTTTCACCCTCAGTTAGCCTGGAGCAAGTATGGTGACTTTCCAGAGTTTTGGTCCATATCACTGTCTCTCTTATCATCGTCAGATCAACATACTTCACACATACGAGAAATAGATCCATACTTCCATACTATGATTAGTTTAATATGTAAATATACTCTTTAGTTAAGCGTTTATGTATTAGGATTGACTCAAATTTTTAATTTAATTATTATTAATTGATAGTTTGTGATTGAATTAATAGAATTAAATGTCATAATTAAAAAATCATTAGATTGATAAGGGTTTGAGTAGTTTGTATGAAGTCAATATATTCATACTTCACTGCCCTATGAAAGTACCTCCAAACTTTCACTCTCCCAGACCTTTTCCATCAACGTCAAATGGGATGTTTGGCTACCACAACCCAAGGAAACATGCTTCCCTACTTGAAAAGGCTGAAATTGCGAGGAAAATTGCGAAAGGCAAGTAATTGCAACAGAATTATGTTAAAAATTTTGTTGCAAGGCTGTAGCAAATTGTGGCGTAAATTTTTGTCGCAAATTTGGAGAAATTACGACGGGATATTGCCACGAAATTTTTTTCGACGACTGTAGCGGTCGCAAATGTATGGGTCAAACCTTTAGACATTGGAGGGAACTTTTCTGTCTCAAATTGAGACTTTTTTTTGAGATGGATTTCCGGATATGAATTGGGACGAACTTTGCGACAGATTATGATGGGTTGGTTGCGACGAAATCTAATTCGGTCATAAATTTTGAAATAAAATTATAGGTATTTTATAATACCTCAATTGATCAATTGTGAAATCACCGAGTGCTGGTGTCTAGAGCTGTCAAAACGGGCCAGCCCAGCCGATTTATTCCTAGCCCATGTCGGTAGGGCCAAAAAGCCCACAGGACCAAAAGCCTACAATGATATAGGCCCATATGGATCAAAAGCCCTATGGGTTAGGGCCAGCCTATAGGCCTTCCAGAAAGCCTTATGTAATTTTTTTGAAGATCTTATTACAGGCTAAAACATGCAAATCATTGTTTCTTTAAAAAACATGGAGAGAGTATCATTTCAGAATTTTCGTAGTATTGAGTGCAGAAAGATGATCAAGAATTTCACTGTCACTTTTGCTTTTAAAAAATCAAAAGAAAAGAAAGAAAAAAGAAAGAAATATTGTTAGAAATTGGAGCATACACAAAGGTAGCATAGAGTTTACTTCAACAATGATTCATCATTTAACACCATGCAAGACATATTCATAGACCATTCACGATCACAACAAGAACAAAGAGAAATGAATCTTGAACCAAACGAGCTTATTTTCCCTGATGATTGATGTAACGTCCGGCCGCTTCAAGCATCAACGACTATCCCCACATACTAACACGAGACTTTTCAGTGTGCTTTTTCCTTACTCGCACACTTCTCGGGAAAACTTCCCAGGAGGTCACCCATCCCTGAATTGCTCCAAGTCAAGCACGCTTAACTGTTGAGTTCTTCCGATCCGGGCTACCGAAAAGTAGATGCATCTTGTTAGTATAGGTAGTACCAATTAATTCTTATAAGCTATCCTCAACTGTACTGTCCTATACCAGCACAGTCTTTGGAATCTCTCTCTTTCCGGTGTTATTCGATTCATTCATGTACCCCTCCCGCTGATAGTACGCTAGCTCCTCCACTAACTATACAATCGTCAGCACCCAAGATGTTACAATTGACGAATCTCTCTCTCTCTCTTTGGATTTACAATGAACACTCGTAGCAACATTCACCACTTTGTGGATTTACATTTGGCAGATATTGCTTTCCCAGGCTTGAAGGTTCTTATAACTTCTTCGTAGGTTGGTCTCTTGTGGTTCACTACCTGTAATCAGTTATCAGCAATTAGCCTTTCAAATTGAGAAAAAAAATATACTTTTTTCAAATCAAGGTTTACCAACCAACCTGCTCAATAACTTAAGGGTTTGCCCATTTCCACTCAGCAAATTATGATGAAGAAATCAACAACAAAAAAATCAAAAACACAATTAAGCTACGAAAACACATTTATAAATAAACAAAGAAAACAAAACACTCCTTAATTTAGAAATTAAAGAAACAAGACTTGGTAGGGTCTTCAAGTTGGTCTTTATAATGGATCTCAACTATAAATTTCAACTATATAAGAAATGAATGAATCTAACCTGTTTAATTTAATAGAAAATTATATTATATATCTACAACTAAAACAATAACCTGTTTAATTTTTTGTTTTAACTCCGGTATAGTTTTATATACGTAGGACTAGGATGTAAGAAGGAAGATCTCAAAGTAACATTGAAAAATGGAAAACTAAATATAAGTTTAAATAATTAATACAAAAAGAAAAAAAACCCATTACAGGTGAAGTTTATAAAGTTAAACACTTAAACCCATAAGACATACTCATGATCTAATAAATTCGAGCAATGAGAAGTGTTTTGACATTATAAGGCCAATATAGTAGCTTATACATTGAACTTTCAGAACTTAATCTAAAATTTATGCCTTAAGTTCATATTGAAAAAGATAGGAATCTAGCAACGAAGCATGAATTTTCTCCACCCTTGTTTTTGCAAGTGCTCTAGACGCGTTTAAGTTATATGCAACATATAGGTAGTGGTCTTTTCTTTAATTATCTAGCATAAATATATAAACTCAAATCTGTACAATTAACATAAATATATAAACTCAATTAACATAAATACCTCTCTAATCTTCAATTTGAACTTCTTGATGCACATTGGCTTCTTATGTTGTTTCATAATCACTAATATTATAATCATCTTCATCTAAAACTTGTAACCAATGGAAACAAAACTACTCAATTATACAATCAATCCCAACATAACCAAGCAATATTACATCTGCTTATAAAATATTAAGCATAATAACTCAAAGCATTACCATTAGGATTCACGAGAAAACCATGCAACTAATTCCTAGTGCAAATCAACATTTGGACATTTTCAGGAAGAGTGGAACTTCTATATTTGGTAAGAACATGCCCACTAATACTAAAAGCTGATTTTGATGCCACTGTAGTAATTGGAATACTTAGCACATCTCGTGCCATAATAGAAAGTGTGGAAAATCTATTCTCATTGTGCTTCCAATAATTAAGCACGTCAAAATCCTCCCCATCACCAAATTTAGCTTTTGGTTCATCCAAATAAAGATTTAATTTACTTTTACCACCAACAAACATACTTTCATTCTCAAACATTTCAAACTCCGGCAAGATTTGATATATAAATTATATAAACGAATTAGCAATGAAAAAAATGACTAAATTAGCATGAAGGAACTTACTCTTATGTATAATTTTGATTTTTTAGGCTTATAGCTTTCACCACTTGACTTGTGCCGGAGATTGGATTTGTTAGATGAATGAGAATTATAAGCACTTGACTTGTGCTCGCATATTCTTAATAAAGCTTCTCAAACTTTTCTCTTATATTTTTAACCTTATTTTGAGAGGTAAAAGGATCAAGTTTTGAGTAGCAAAAGTCTAAGAAAACAAGCTTCAAATCGGGTCAAGAATAGCTCAAAGCTAGAACTGTACTATATTCATTCCAATATTTGTCAAACTTCTCTTTCATCCTCATTAACATATCACTTAAAGTATAATCATCATTATACAAGTTTTCGTTCAATATGCACTAAATCTTCCAAACTTGTACAAAGTATAAGTTAGAGGTTGGATAAGATGAACCTGAAATCATGTTTGTAGTCTCATAAAAGGGTTATAGGAATTCACATATTTTATCCCCTCTTCTCTATTCTTCACATTGTAACAGCCCGTTACGTACCGGTAATGTTATCATTGCATATGGTACTAAGCGCAGTTACAATCATAGTAATTGAGTTAATTAAATTACGGATGAACTTTTTCTTTTATTGAATCCTCATTGTTCACAATTAACCATTTCCGTAACTAATTAAAACAACGCCGTAATTGTAAATGTGAAACTCGCGGAAGCATAAAACATACTAATTATCAACTCTCTAAGCAATACCATTTATTTTAGGTTTTAAAAATACTTCTTTTCAAAAATTACACCGTGGTAATCGATTACCACTCTTGAGGTAATCGATTACCCAAAAGTTCAAAACGAGACAGTAGCTCAATTTGGGGCCCCTGTTTCTGGTAATCGATTACCTTGAGATAAGTAATCGATTACTGAACTAGGTAATCGATTACCAAAGCTCAGGTAATCGATTACTTTGATCACAGTGGCTCAATTTTGCATCCCCTGTTTTCAGGTAATCGATTACCAAGGAAAAGTAACCGATTACCCTACTGCAAAATGACAGATAACAGCATTTTAAAGCACAAAAGAAGTGATGTAATCTGTAACACCCCTTGTATATCCGGTTTGTTAACATGTCATCATATTAAGCCACGCTTAATTTAAAACTGCGGAATATCTTTTTCTTTTCAATTATGACGTCATTATAATTAGCCAAGTTGATTACTTAATCAATTTCATAAAAACATCGCCTGTATGTAATTTGCAAATAGACAACTAACTGAATTACCTCAATATATAAATAATTGTGGGTATCTAAAATCACGGAACTACAACACGTAGCCCGGACATAATCCTGATACATTAATACAACTCAAATCTAAACAAAGGCATAGTCAATAAATGTGGCATGGACAATCCCCATGCTCACCAAATAAGGTAACATAGCCAAACAAGGTCTCAACAACAACAACAACATAATCATAAAGCTAACAACAAAAAGAAACAGGCATAATCCAGCATAACAACATAATCTGTGTGTCCATAATGCCTCCAAATCTTGAAGGCAAACACAATCGCAGCCAACTCCAAATCATGAGTTGGGTAGTTCTCCTCACGAGGCTTCAACTGCCTCGAAGCATAAGAAACAACTCTACCGGTCTGCATCAAAACACAGCCCAGCCCCCTTCCAGAAGCCATCACAGTAAAGCTCAAACTGCTCATCAGGATCAAGAAGGATCAACACAGGCGCGGTGGTCAATCTCTCCTTCAACTCCTGAAAGCATTCCTCACACTCGTGAGTCCACACAAACGGAGTCTCCTTCCTGGTAAGGCGAGTCAATGGTAGAACCATCGTGGAGAATCCCTTGATAAACCTCCGGTAGTAACCAGCCAAACCCAAGAAACTCCCCACCTCAGTAACCGTCTTGGGCCTCTCTCAATCCAACACAGCTTCAATCTTGTTGGGATCCACTGCAACTCCCTCAGCAGAAATCACACGCCCAAGGAACTTCACAGACTTGAGCCAAAACTCACACTTCGAAGGTTTAGCATAAAGCTTTTTCTCCTTCAGCACTTGCAACACAATCCTCAAATGCTCAGCATGCTCCTCCTCCGTCTTGGAGTAAATCAAGATATCCTCAATGAAGACGATCACAAACTTATCCAGGTACAACTGGAAAATCCGGTTCATGTAATCCATGAACACTGCGCGTGCATTCTTGAGTCCAAAAGGAATCACCAAATACTCAAAGTGACCGTATCTCGAACGAAACGCAGTCTTAGGGACATCCTCTGGCTTCACCCGAATCTGATGGTACCCGGACCGGAGATCAATCTTCGAATACACACAAGCACCCTTGAGCTGATCCAACAAAGCATCAATACGCGGAAGGAGATGCATGTTCTTGATTGTCACCTTATTCAGCTGCCTGTAGTCGGTGCACAATTGCATAGTCCCGTCTTTCTTCTTCACAAAGATGACTGGTGCTCCCCAAGGAGACACACTCGGTCGAATGAAGTCTTTCGCTGAAAGATCCTCAATGTGCTTATTCAGCTCCGCCAACTCCGGTGGCGACATCCAATACGGAGCTAATGAAATAGGCCCCACACCAGGCTACAAGTCTATGGAGAACTCTATCTCCCGATGTGGCGGAAACTCAGGAATTTCCTCAGGAAACACCTCGAGGAATTCTCCCACCACAGGAATGCTAGTGATATCCTCTTGTGTCCCACTTACCAAAACTCTCAACATGACATAAGCGAATGCCCCTGCTCTCAAGGCTCTTCTAGCCTGCAGCAATGAAATATATGGCGAGGAACTGGCTGTAGAATCAACCAGAGACATTACCACTCGTTTGGCACAACATTCAATCAATGCACAGTTCCTGGACAACCAATCCATGCCCAGAATAATCTCTAAGTTAGCCATCGACAATCCCACTGAAACACGACATCTCGATGAACAGTGGTAGTATCTCACTTTTCTCCGGTGGCAGTAGTCACCCGCAACGGTGCAGAAAACACAGACATGGGCGACTCAAGCCCCATAGCAATCGAGGTTGCAATAAAGAATGCGTAGCCTCAGAGTCAAATAATACATCAACAATAGATCCACCAATGGAAACAGTACCTCTGACAAGGTTCGGAGCTCAGTCCGACTGCTGACGATCCAAAGTGTAAACTCGCCTCGTGGCAGGTGGCACAGCAGGTGCTGAAGTAGGTGGAAAGGGGACCATCTGAAGTGGAATTGCCTGAACTGCTGTAGCTCTTGCCGTCGACGACGAACACTCTCTAACATAGTGGCCCTCCTTGCCACACTGGAAACAAACAGTCTGACCGGTAGCACACGGCCCCAAATGAACCTTCCCACATCCCGTGCACCTGGGAATAGGAGGTCTCGCTGCACTCCCCTGAGTAGTAGTCCTCTTGAATTGATTTGGCGCTTGCCTAGCCGCCAACTGATTTCCCTTTCCTTTACCAGCAAACTTCTTGTCCTTCCAGGAAGTGGAACTACAAGTTCCCTTGGTCTCAGCAACCTTGGCCCTCTTGGCCTTACTCACTATGTAGACATCCTCAATGTCTTTACACTGCTGTACCAGTGTACCAAAATCTCTCGATGCTGCTCCAACAATACGCTCTGCAATCCCCTCACTAAGTCCCCTGCGGAACTTAGCAGCCAAAAAGGTCGAAGTAGGCATAGCCATCCGAAAGTGAGCGAACTTAACCAACTCATTAAACTTTTCCAAGTACTCGTCAACAGACAACGAGCCCTGCACTAACCTGTCGAACTCCCCCTGCTTCCTCTCCTACGCATCATACGGGAAGTACCGACCCAGAAAGCAATCCTCGAAGAATGGTCATGTCATGACATGATCCTGCATCTCATAAGCGTGAGAGGTGTTCATCCATCACTCATGTGCATCGCCCTCCAGCATGTATGTGGCGAACATCAGTTTCTGCGGATTAGTACACTGCATGACACGGAAGATCTTGTCCAGTGCTTGAAGCCATCTCGCCGCAGCAATTGGATCATAAGAGCCATCAAAGGAAGGTGGCTTATGCTTGCGGAAAGCATTAAGCCGGCGGTCTAACACATCGCGATCCTCAGCAGGCTCCACATAGGGTTCTATCACCCCAGTAGTATGACCAGTGCCCTCAACATGGCTCTGGCTCTCGTCCTGCATACTAGGTGGAGGTAGAGGCGGTGGTGGCGGTGGAGGTGGGAACTGACCAACACCAGGACCAGCCCTTATCTCCTCCAACATGACCCTTATCATAGTCATGTTCGTCAGGTGGTTTGCCTCCAATACATCCTCAGTAGCTTTCCTGTTCGCCTCCCTAACGGCGTCCAGCATAGCCTGGTTTGCTATTCTCATGGCCTCCTGGTCGACTAGTCGAGCCACCTGCAACTCAGCCAATGCAGCCAGGAAAGGATCAAGTTGATCCCTTCTAGTGTCTCGGTTCCTCCGAGGTAGTACCATGACTCTGCACAAGTTACACAAAGAATGAGTTGATCAGGCCCACGCAATGTGGTCACACATGCATTATCATAGCAAAACCCAATAGAGAGAACATACAGACACGACTCACAACAAAACATCCTAAGTTATTGCAACACATACAGGCTTTTCCCTAGAAAGTGCTATGATACCATAAAATGTAACACCCCGTGTATACCCGGTTTGTTAACATGTCATCGTATTAAGCCACGCTTAATTTAAAACTGCGGAATATCTTTTTCTTTTCAATTATGACGTCATTATAATTAGCCAAGTTGATTACTTAATCAATTTCATAAAAACATCGCCTGTATATAATTTGAAAATAAACAGCTAACTGAATTACCTCAATATATAAATAAATGTGGGTATCTAAAATCACGGAACTACAACACGTAGCTCGGACATAATCCTAATACATTAATACAACTCAAATCTAAACAAAGGCATAGTCAATCAATATGGCATGAACAATCCCCATGCTCACCAAATAAGGCAACATAGCCAAACAAGGTCTTAACAACAACAGCAACATAATCATAAAGCTAACAGCAAATAGAAACAGGCATAATCCAGCATCTAACATAATCATCATAACAGCAAATAAATCAGCTAAGCTCCGGCCTCCTGCCGCTAGAGGTCTCAACCCCCGCATTACCTGAACCTGAAATAAGCGCCCCAAACGTGGGGTGAGATCTCTAAACAGAAATTTCAGTAAGGCAATGGGACCTCAAGGATCTTCCACCCCAAGCTCACTTACATGTGCAATATAAGTTCCAAAACAGTTAAACAATATAAGTTCCAAAACAGTGCAATGCAGCAGATAATCATGTCGTGTGTGTTATAACTATTCTACTGATCCGAGAAGTGCAGGAATACGTCTATTACCCACACAGTACATGCCCATGTTGTACCCGCCCACAGGACCACCTCATGGCTTCCTGTCTAGGCGAAACACCACATACATATCATAAAGCAATTGCACTTAACAGTTCAATAGCATTTCAATAAAACAGTACATGAAAACACATCATGCATATAACTGTCGCCCCATGGGACATGGTGGAACAAACAATGGCTAAATTGAGGACACGAAAGCTTACCTTGCAAGCTAGCTATCCAAGCCAAGAGTCCACACACAAGCTCAAAGTCCAAACAAAGCAGAATCACAATATGTTTTGGACCAGCAATCATATCAACAACCATAACTCACAAGCATATAACATAAAGAAAACGTTTTTCTTTTACTTTTCATGTCTTTAGGCTTCTCACAAGCCACAAGCCCTTAATCACATAGATTCTGACTTAAGTTAATCATTACAGAAGTTTAACTTCATCAATCTAGGGTCCACAAACCCAAAACAGCCTTCTGTATGAACAATACCGCTACTGTTCTCGAAAATCCAAAATATCCAGATATTTGTTGGGGACATATCCGGATATCCCATATCCGGATATCATATTCGGATATCATATCCGGATATCCATATTCGGATATCAACAGACCCCATATCCGGATATCAATATCCGGATATCATATCCAGATATTTTGTGACAGAATGCAGTTTTGCATTTCGCGAGATATCCTACCCAAATGTGGTTCATTTCACGATTCCAGAGGCTTAAACATGCATTTTATGGTACATACAGGTTAACATACGTGTTGGTTACTTAACTAACCCATTAAACATGCCAAAACTCCACTTTTAACATAACAAACTCATGATCAAAGGTGGTGAAGCTTATCCAAGCTCAAGACAGAGGTGCAATGGCTCTTGGAACTCACCAAACAGCTTTTCAAGCTCTGACTTCTCAAGGGTACGAAAATGGCACACCAAAGGTTGGTTCTTTCTTCACAAAGATGGCTCTTTGAAGCTCAAAACACCAAGACAAGGTGGTTCACTACCCAACTCAAAACTCAGCTCTTAACCCCACACTCACAGAGGCCATAAACAGAAAATGGAACACTCCCCCATCCTCACAAGGATCACTCATGCAATGCTTAAGTGTTTAGATGAAGAAACTTGCACAAAAAGTTCTTGCTTTGGCTCACAAGAGAGAGGAAGGGAGGCAATGGAATAGTGCACAAACTGACCAGCCACCAAGGTTCACGTAGCAACAGAAATGTCTAGTGGTTTTGGGCCAAACATGCATATTTATAGTGTTTTAAGTCTTAAGCACACAATATTAGCACTAATAACTACGTTTAGCATTTTAATCTCAAACTTAGGATTCTGGACCTACTCATTTTTCTAAAAATTTTCATATTTTTCTTTTATTTTTCGCAGCACCTTTCCGGTACGCGTTTTTACATAGCCAGTATCAGTTCTGGCACCAATTCTCATTATTTTAACTTAAAACTTGAAATCAAAGTCCTATATATATTTCTAGGAATATACATGCACTTATTATAATTTTCTGGGATACTTCATCAGTGCGCATTTATACCGAGGAGCAAAACCGATATCTGCAATTTTCGTGAGAAAAACGACTTTCAATATTATTAATCACTTACCATAATTATTTAAGCCTTCACATAATTATTAGGGTCAATTATGGAATTATTTCCTAATTTCTCATAATTAATTAATTAACTTCCTTAATTAACAGTGTGGGTTCTTACATAATCCCTTCCTAACACCTTAATAATCATTATAACACTTACACTAGACCTAATGTAGGCTCAAAGCCCTTCCATCATACATATTCATTATCAAATATATTCATTACAATGGTTTCCAATACAATAGCCATTTTCAACATCAAATGGTCTATTTACAAAAATAATCTCCAAATACCTCTAAGCACAAAATAGGTGGCCATGGACAAGTCTCATGCTCACTCAAATATCAATATAAAGAATAGGCATGAAATATAAATCAATTACAAAAGACTTAGAATCTAGTCATGAACACCACAAAAGCATGGAATCTCATCATGCAATATGTTCATGATCTAAGTCCAAAATGCTAAATAAAATGCCATGTGCATCAAATATGCTCCTCCAAAATGCCATGCTCTCCATATGCACATCAAGGTCCAACACCTCCACTAAGCGGGCCTCTTGCCCGAAGCTCCTCCATGCTCACTATATCCTGAAATGATGTCTCCAAACGCAGGGTGAGATATACAAATATATCTCAGTAAACCAAGGGTACTAGAGGATCACTCCACCCTATGGCTCACTCAATGTGCAACAAATAACATTATGTAAAAAATGCATGACATACACATCACAAACAACTGGGCACAAATTCAAGAACATCCACATCAGGATTCCGTTCAAGGACCCCATCATATAATACCCGGGAAGCTTCCTGGTGCCTCTCCCATGGATGAGACGACCCCATGGAAAAACCTAACTGGAACTCCTCATGAACCCTATTCAGCGGAAGTCCCACGTTTGGATCATCCTGGTGCCGCTCCCAGAGTCGTCCCACGGAAAAACCTGACCGGAATCCCCAAAGGATATCTCCAGCGGAAGTCCAAACCAACACACATCTACTGGCTAGAGATCAAAAAGTTTCACACACAACATGCTCCAAGCATGTCACACAATCAAGCAATAATGCATGAACATGCATATTCACACAATGTCCAAAGGCACAAAATCCAACCACAACCTTCCACTAGGTGTGGTGGAGCACACAAGGGATTAAAATCCAAGTTCCAAAGGTTTACCTCAACTCCGCAATTATTGCTCTTCCACGTAAGCTCCAAGCCTATTCCACTTCTATTGGTTCCATGAGAGGAAACCTATATGATCAAACAATAATGATCAACAATACAATTCACAAGGCAATCAATTCACTTTCAAAATACTCATACACAAACCCATTCACTTAGGCCAAAGGCTATTTATACTTATTATTCCTTATACATCATTATAGGTCAAATTACCACATACTTAATACATCCAACATTCTTCTTTCCAATTCCACAACATCATACCAACCTACCATCCATTTAAACACCATTTACAACCATACAACCTCAACTACACAATTTTTACATCATTTTTCCTCCAAACCCTTTATGGTTCGAATTCTTCAAGGAAGCCTACACCAAGGCTTTCAATTCAATTTAACACTTTCACATGTCTTACAATCTCATTATTAACCCATACCAATGCTCCACAACTCAATTATCCAATCTCATCATCATGACCATTCTTAAAGTATTGAAATCTCATCATAAAATTTCCTGAGTTAAAAATTCCAAATCACAATAATTTTTATTACATCAATCATCATCATTTATCATTCTAAGTATTTAATCCCAAAGGAAACATACCATTTAATGCTCTTAACTACCATAACTCAATTTACAACTTCAAAACCCTCATCCAATTTATGATCTCCATTAAAACTCAAAGAGAGTGAGAAATCTTACCACTAATAGCTTCATAGGATCCAAGGGAGTGATCTCCAACCAATGGTTCAACACCAAAGTCACCAAAAATTCTCCAAAATGCCAATATTTTTGTGGCTGTATATGGAGGATTTCTCCCTCCACAATGCTCCCCACAAGATGCACTCTACATGAAAGTCACTCACAATCTCAAGGGGAACAACTTTGTAGTTGGAAGTTTTTCTTAAAAATGGCTAGAAAGTGGAGTTAAAATTGAAAATCTCACTAAACCCTTCCAATGGTGAAGGTTCGCGTGAAGGAGAAGAAAGAGAGGAGAGAGAAACTAAATTTGAATCACACTTGGCCCTTTTTGGTCACTTAAATCACTTAAGTGGGTCCCCCATGTCTTTTAACTTTCTGAAGTCACCCAATTT